TTTCTCTTGATCTTGAATCAAGTTGTTTTTCTTCATTTTCGATATTTTACTATTGGATTCCTTAGCTGTTCCTGCTGTTTCCCCTTCTAAATAATTTTCTCCATGATGCTTAAGGGTTGGCTCTATCCCAGAGAATTAAAAAATTTGACTGCTTCCTCTGTCAACTAACCGTCAAGAAGTTTTCACGAATAATTGTCTTCTTACTCTCTTCTGTGGAACAATCTGATTTTCGTGCATTATTTATTGTTTTTGTTACTAATTATCTACATTCTCCTGTTTCTTTTGTTCTACGGCTTGTTTGTCCACAGTTTCAATGAATAATGTCATTATGTATAAGTCTACAACATTAATTGTTAGTATGTACAACGTACTGCAGGATTACAGAATATCATGTTTACACTATATTTGCTAAATCCTTTATATCAATATACCAAAATTTGTTTCATGGTTTATTAGATCTTTTATATCTTGTGGTTTTACCAATTGGTTTTCACGCAATATTAACATGAAACATGAAAGTTCAAATTATTTAGCGTGAGAACTACTTTGCTTGAAAAATAAATCTCTGATTTCGTTCCAACCGATCACCATGGTGGCAAACAAGGAAGTATAATTCATGGTAATTATTTTCTAAGCGTGTTCTTAACCTGCACTCCAATTTATTAAGAATGTATATCCACCCTTTTGCAAAAATCAACCCCTCTGCACATTTTAAAATTTGAAACCCTTTTTCACACAATCATATTTTACCATGTCCGGTTTTTTCTTTCTTTTGTTCTTTCTTTTGTTCTTTCGTCTTTTTTTCTTTCTTTCTTTAGTTCTTTCTTTCTTTGTTTTTTCTTTGTTTTTTTTTCTTCCTTTCTTTCTTTCTTTCTTCCTTTCTTTCTTTCTTTCTTTCTTTCTTTCTCTCTTTCTTTCAATCTTTTTTCTTTCTTTTTTTTCTTTGTTAACTGCTGTTATTAAAATACGTTTTTATTTAGAATCTAGAAGATCAAAAACTTGTTTATAGGTTTGACTTTGAAATAACCCGTGCTTCTTCATTTATTTTTCATTTTTGTTTCATGTCTTCTATTAAATTATTTTATCATTATATCCTCCTGTATCTACCTATCATAGCAATACGAACTTTGTAGCCTAACTGAAGCCTCCAATTATATTTCTAAAATGGTGTTTTCAAAAAAAAAAATTTCAAAAACGTTTTTACGTTTCCTAAACTTTGATATATATATATATACATCAGTTACGGGGTTCTAACATTGAAAAAACTTTCTTATATATATTTTTTCAGTATAGATGTAAAATGTAGATTGCATCATATTTGAAGAATTGGGGCACAGGAACCTAAAACCAAACCTCAAATATCCTGGTTTAACTTCTCATTTACATTCTTTCACAATCCATCAATTCTCCTCGAATCACTTTCCCTTTCCATCCATCAATTTATTTAGACATATCTATCTATCTATCTATCATAATTTGCTCATATACTATCCGGCAGGAAAATTGGGGAAACTTTTACTTTCAATTTTGTTTGACGAGAAACAGGTTTCCGATTGGCGATTTGTTGAAACATATCGATATTGAAAGTTTGTCGCGAACTAAAATTGCTATGCTAGGATAATTCAAATTAAAAACTAGAAGTGCTTTGATTAGTTTATCATCGACTTTAAACTATAATTTCTAATTCCTTTTATCTTTGCAACCTAATTCTAACCCTGTTTAATTAATTCTAACTATAAAATATTTATCTAGCCCGATTCATTCCTTCAAACACAGGGCTATCTTAGCATTAGATAATATGAAACTCCTAGAATATGAAAAATGAAAGGGGCTTACGGCTAAAATTAAGCGCTTTTGATCGTTACTAATCTTACTTCTATCTGTTGCGTCTATCAGGAGAAAATTATTAAAAACAACTCGCGCTGAAGAACGTAGCGTTCATAAAAATTCAAAAAGTTGCAACATCCAGGTCTGATCGTAAAATAATCAATTTAATTCCAAACAAATCATTCAGATATTTTAACCAATAATCATCGATTACTTTTCGACGCATTCGTATATAGTTAATATTTCATAATATTTTTACAGCGAGCCATGAATATAAGAAAACAACACAGTATAAATGTCATATTGTCGTCTCTGAAATCTTATTCTTTTTGGATAACCCCGTATCATCTGGTTGCAAAGATATCAGAACCAAACTGTAAAGTTTGATGAAAGTGTTCCTAATTTTTTTAAATCCTCTAAATTTCGAAATAAAAGAATTGCTTTTCGTAAATAAATCTCTTTTTTGACAAATATCCTACTTTTGTTGTCAAATAAGCGATTTTTTGCGGAGTATAAACGATTAAGGCTATTTTACATTTTGGGGAATGTAAACATAGCCAATAAAAATAAATAGATTCCCCCCTCCCTCAGGTCTTTTCAGGGTTAACTTCGAAATATTGCTGATTAAAATCTAAAATATTTAAAAAAGTAGAAACGGAAAGAAAATAAAGATGCCATACCAATATGCTTTGTTTTGATTATATTTAACAAAAGGATACAAGGTTTGCTATTCTAGTATTTGGAACCTTTTCAGAAAAAAAACCTCCTGGAATGGACTGAAATAAAGAGTCATATGAAACTTCGTGAAAATGAAACTCCTTGAAAATGACGATGAAACTACGTGAACAGTCCACGCAAGGATCTCTAAGATATGAACAGAAGAGATGGATACCAGAAATGTGTTTAGTTGAAAGAACACCCCTATACTATTTGATAATATTAGTTTGAAATTATATATCACAGCTAGCTATGTAAACTATAATATCTATGTTATCCTTGATCAGTGAAAGGTTTAAACTGGGGTTTTACGTTAGTTATTAAGATTATCTAAATATTTTAATCTAGAAGTTTGGGTGAAGTCAAGAAAAGAATATGTAAGTATTTATTTTTTAAATTAATAAACAATTCATTATTCAGCCCTGTGTGATCATAATTAGGCATCCGACATATATCATCCTTTGTTGGTTTAAATTAATTATATTATAGATATTTGGATGATTTTTCACACAGACCATTATATGGATACTTAGGTGTGAATTGCCATGATTCTGCAGTTTTTATGGCTTTTGAAATTAGGTATTACAATGCTAATTCATAACAAAGACAATATCGAATTCGTCACTGAATTCCCATGTTTTTTGGGACACCCTGTATATTCAAATTATTTTTTAAACCTTCTAACCCTATCAAGATGTTGCGAAAATACTCGGATTATATTCAAAATTTATATTTATTTCGAAATGTCTTTAGAAAAGAAGAAAAAGCCAAGCTATGTTTAATTTTATCGCCTTTCAACATTGTTGTTCAAAATAAAATAAAAACTTTAAATGTTTAGTATTTTAGTATAAAAAAAACAACTTTAAATAAACCTGTATAACTATGCGAAATTATAAAGTTTTTTAAATAATATGATAACCTAACGGGTTCAATAATAATGTAGTTAAAACTATCGTTCGTTTACGTTTAAGTAAAGATGAGAATCATTAAATTCTAATACCTATGTATATATTTTTCAACCCATCCCATTATCGTAGCCTATAAATCTTGAGACTGCCCCTCCCATTATATATTTTATATTTCATCTTATTATTTTACAATCCAAGAACTTACAGCAATCCTAGATCTTACAACAATCCTAGATCTTACAACAATTCTAGAATTGACAACAATTCTGAATTCACAACAATTCTAGAACTTACAACATTAATATAACTTACAACAATGTTAGATCTTACAGCAATCCTAGATCTTACAACAATCCTAGATCTTACAACAATTCTAGAACTTACAACATTAATATAACTTACAACAATGCTAGATCTTACAGCAATCCTAGAATTTGCAACAATTCTATAATTTACAGCAGGGGCGGATACAGGATTTAAGTGAGTGGGAGCAAGATTTTTTAGAAACCAAAAAATTCATAATTAAGAATAAAAAATCGCGCCGCAGGTGAAAATTTTTTTCACTTAGAAGACTTAAAAATAGTCAAATTAATGACTAAAGACTAAAAAACTAGATTTTTAACTTTTCACACATTATAGTTTATTAAGACAGATATTTTTCCTGTTTTGCACTAGGGTTTCTTTCCCTTAAGCATGCTATTGCGAAGCTATTCTGAAAATAGGAATAAAAAATTCCTAATTCAGGGGGGGCGAATGTCCCCTCGCCCCCCCCCCTATATCCGCCTCTGATTGAGAGCATACTAGATCTTACAACAATTCTAGATTTTGCAACAATTCTAGAATTTACAACAATTCTAGAATTTACAACAATCATAGATCTTACAACAATCCTAGAATTTACAACAATCCTAGAACTTACAACAATCCTAGATCTTACACCAATCCTAAAATTTACAACAATCCTAGATCTTACACCAATCCTAAAATTTACAACAATCCTAGATCTTACACCAATCCCAAAATGCACAACAATCCTAGAACTTACGACATTCCTAGATTTTACAACAATTCTAGAACTTTCAACATTCGTAGATTTTACAACAATCCTAGAACTTTCAACATTCCTAGATTTTACAACAATCCTAGAACTTTCAACATTCCTAGATTTTACAACAATCCCAAAATGCACAACAATCCTAGAACTTACAAAATTCCTAGATTTTACAACAATCCTAGAACTTACAACATTCCTAGATTTTACAACAATCCTAGAACTTACAAGAATCCTAGATTTTACAAGAATGCTAGATCTAACAACCAAAGTTCAACCTTCAAATTATCAGAATATCTATCTCTTACATTTCTCTAATCACTTTGCCAATCCTCAGTTTCAAATTTTGGGTTCCTGCATCCAATAAGGGGCCTAGGATGCGCGCAGGAATGTGCAGGGCGCACCCTTACGCGCTCTGGGCTAATGAAAGTGACTTGGGTCATGCTGGGTCGGGAAAGCGCGTGTTTGTATGTGAGTTGAGAGCGCGCGCCCCACGCCGTGTTTTCACTGAGATAAGTAAACCTAGTATCCTAGGTCTGGGATAGTATTCTACTGACCTTACAAACGAGACCAGGCTTCATATTCTTAGCGGTGAAATCATCAGGTAAACTTTCACTCTCACAACCTTTCAGTTTTTTTCCCAGACTTTCATCTCAAAACTTTCAATCTTTTTTTATGGCACAAGTTCAGAGATAAATAACAGTGAGATACCTTTCTACAATTGTTTTTCTTTTACAGCATGGCCCGTTATCTGATCTTAGCCGCAGTGCTCATTGCAAATGCTTTAGCCGACGATGGTTATGCTGCTCCCAGCAGCCAGGGATATGCAGCTCCCAGCAGCCAAGGCTATGCTGCCCCTAGCGACGGGTATGGAGCACCCAACGACGGTTATGGAGCACCCACAGCTCCTGCGGATGGCTATGGAGCCCCCTCTGACGGTTATGGAGCTGCATCTTACAATGAGCCCACCGGATATGCTTCTGGTTCAGCGGTTGCTGCTCCCGCTAATGATTTCTTAAGCATTGAGAAATGGGTCTACCTGGTCCCCTTCTTCCTTGCCGTCCTTGCCGCCATCATCATCGCCCAGATCATCACCCCCGCCATCGCTGCCCTCATCGGGGCCAAAATTGATCTTGCCAATCAAGCAGTTGGAGCCATTGGTGGTGCTGTTGGTGGTGCTGCTGCTGGTGTTGGTGGTGTTGGTGGTGCTGGAGCTCTTCCTAATCTTGGTCTTGTCCCTCTGGATCTCCTGAACGCTGTGTTGACCCCCTTCAACCTGGCTATCTGCACCACCAACCCCCTTGCCCTTGCCGGAACTCCAGCCACCGGACGAGGATTCAACTTGGACCCTGAATCTGTCAAGTTTGCAGCATCCATGCTCTACAATGCGTATGAAAGTAAGTATTAAATTATTTTCTATTTTCTCCAATTACCAAAAGTGTTTTTGCTAATCTACTGACGTCTTCATCGTGCAACTGTAATTATGTTGGAAAAGGGTAAAATTGCAAAATCGTGAGTGTTTGTGCCAGAGTTCAACCTATTACAAGCATCTACTGGGTCTTCTTAATTAAACCTTTCTGCTTTAATTAACACCTACTCATTTCACTAATTACATCTTTGTTTAGAATACAGTGAGCTGGAATAAAGATGAAACCCCCGACCCAGGACACAAACATGAAAATTTCAAGAATACATCGGCATTTTTTTTATCCGCCAAAGCCAGACCTAATACGATCTATTAGCAACAAATCAGATAATGGCGCAATCACACGATTGTAAATTATCCTTCAAGAGGCGCATCCCGGCCCGGCGTGTCGGTGTGGGCGGGTTAGTACAACTGGGTGGGCGGGTGAGTACAACTGTGTGGGCGGGCCAGTACAACTGGGTTTGTCCATATTTGGGTTTGAAGAATAAGCCTCAGGGCTGTGATTCAAATCCTTCTGACCCACTTTCCCGTGTAGTCGACCTAACCCCCTCTCCACACCGGTCCAACCTTGACGCAGCACACCGGGCCAAAAAAGGGGCGATGTCTTGACGTAGCTCGCACAGAACCATAGTTAATGGTTCCAGATTTGCGACCTGCATATCAAACCAAGACCTTTCCCCCATCCGACTTAAATCTAACGAGGCAGAAATTGCTCTTCGACTTTATTATACATACGTTAACCCATACTGGGGCAAAATATCGTCGACAAGGTATTATTGCGACGGTATTAGACTTGATAAGCTAGACCAAACAAGAGACCGCATAAGGACTCAGGACAAGACGGGACAAAGTACCTGAAACCTGTAGAACATAAATACTTATAGTTGTTAGTCATTCAATCCTAATTTATTGAATATTTATAATTACATTGCTCTCTTTATAATGTTTTAATAAAAATGTTTAAAGATGTTATTTTTATATCTATATCTATATATATACGATGCACCTTAAAAAAATGTTAACTTATTTTGAAGAACCAAAAATTATTTCTTACATAAGGAATGAGATTTTGAAAACAAGAATATAGTTTAACCCTGAACTTTGGAAAAATCGAAAAAAATGCTTATGTCGGCTTGACCATTTATCAGTGGGATTTACGCTATTATACCTAAATCTTATAAATTATAAAAATAAATAGCCATGAAATATGCGGGAACAGTTTAAAGAGCTCCAACTGATTATTTAATTAAAAAATTAAATGCAGAATTCCATTACCAGTAAGTTTATAAAACGACATTTTATAAATTCTTTTGAAGTTTCCGAAGGTTAATATCTGTATTGAACTGAGAGAAAAATGACAAATCATTTTGTTAACTTAAATTAAAACTTTGATATAATTTGAATAATATGATAGAACAAAGAAATCGAACAAAAAAAGGCTTGATTTAAAATGATAGGTTTCGAATTTTTTTATTTTATATAATTTTTTAACACATACAGAGTTTTAAAAAGAGATTAATTTAAAATTTGACAAAAGTATCATGGGCATTTTATCAATTGTTATCATTTGAAATCATCATTGAATAAATTTAAAAGATGAAAAGTCTTAAGAATCTAAAAGTTCATGTAAAGCATGTAAAGTTCAATCTTAATTGCAATTTCATTAAGTTATATATATATATATATATATATATATATATATATATATATACCATATATACCATATATATCTGTTAAGAATTGATTTCACATAGTTCTATTAACATGAACTAGATTTTTAGATCGCTTCACGCCCATCATCTTTTTCATTTGATAACATTTGCTCTTTGTGTACATTGTAAAACAAAAACATGACAAATTTTCGCGGATTTAGTAACAAAATTTCCTGGATTTACAAAACTTTCAAAAGCTAAATTTTGTTAGAGGCAAATATTTAAAAATGTGATATCCATAAACCTTCCCTGGGGTCAGGTGAGGTCCCACACAAAATTTGGGCCCGAACGGTTTCGCCGTTTTGACGTTTATTGGACACAAACAAACAAACAGACACCCAGACAAATAAAGTATATATATATTGAAATCTGAAGTAAAAATTTGGAAACAAAAAGAGATTTCGCCACAAACTCCTACATCTATGCAATCCGATGTCGTAGACCTTTGAAATTTTAAACTATGAATATTGTTAGATCAAATAGTCTAAGTTTGAAATATCAAAGGTTTTTTGTTTAATTTATCAATAGTATTTTTTTCATGTTTTACAATAAATATAATATTCTTTGTTAAGTATAATGACATTACTTTTATTTAATCTTTTTTTTTTAACGCCGAAATAATGTTCTTTTAATCTTTAANACTTTTATCAGCTATCAACTAGATTTTCAGACATCATACTTTTATCAGCTATCAACTAGATTTTCAGACATCATACTTTTATCAGCTATCAACTAGATTTTCAGACATCATACTTTTATCAGCTATCAACTAGATTTTTTTGACATTTGTTGACAATCAACATCATAAAAGACACACTTTATTTCCGTCGTCCAAAAGCCTCCTTCCTCATAATTATATCTCATTTAAAATCATCGTTATGCTAGTGTCCTAGATTTATTAAATAAATTTAACCACTGTACTTTATGTATAAGTGTACTGCATGTACTGCATGTAAACTTGCTTATAAAGAAATAAAAAATCACGCACAGAAGTTAAACTGCATTTTTAAATAACGGTCGCGGAATTTAAATTAAGGCATCGTGAAACAAAAACTTTCCAGCTTTCCAGCTTACCAGCATACCAGGTTTCCAATTTGCCAGCTTTCCAGCTTTCCAGCTTACCAGCTTTCCAGCTTTACAGCTTACCAGCTTTACAGCTTACCAGCGTTACAGCTTACCAACTTTCCAGCTTTCCAGCTTTCCAGCTTACAAGCTTACAAGCTTACAAGCTTATCAGCTTTCCAGCTTTCCAGCTTTCCAGCTTACCAGCTTTCCAGCTTTCCATCTTTCCAGCTTTCCAGCTTTTCAGCTTTCAATCTTTCCATTTTTCCAGCTTTCCAGCTTTCCATAGCGTAATTCGAAAACTCTTCTTAAACTGGAAACTTTCCTATTTCTGTAACGTAAACCTAGTGTCGTTTCAGTATCGTAATCAATCTAACAGCTTTCCTTACTTCCGCAAAATTTCAAGGATTTCAAGTCAACTAACTCTTCTTCTGAGAATCGCAAACCGAACATTTCTTGTTTTTTCAAAACTTAAAATGGAAACTTCCACCATCGTCAACCGAACATTTCTAGGTTTTTAATGATGTAAAACCGACCATTTCTAGGTTTTTAATGATGTAAAACCGACCATTTCTAGGTTTGTCCAAACGTAAAACCGAACATTTCTAGAGTTTTCATGACGTAATACCGTCATTTCTAGGTTTTTCATAACGGGAAACTGAACATTTCTAGGTTTTTCATGACGTAAAACCGACATTTCTAGAGTTTTCATAATGTAAAACCGAACATTGCTAAGTTTTCAATAACGTAAAACCGACATTTCTAGGTTTTTCATTACTGAAAACTTAACATTCTTAGATTTTTCTAAACGTAAAACCGAACATATCTAGAATTTTCATAATGTAAAACAGAACATTTTTAGAGTTTCATAATGTAAAACCGAACATTTCTAGGTTTCCCAACCTAACCGCATATTTTCCTAGATTGATTCACAACGAAAGTATCGTCTAATGCACTGTGATTAGGCCCTAACGGCCAGTATCTAGTTATATTGTTCCTTTCAATTATACATTTTTATCTAACGAGGCCATTCATTTAAACACGTACTTGAACATACTAAGAGATTACACTGCTATTGCTTTGCAAGGATATTGTTTATAGGTCATGCGAGGGGTGCGAATAATTTACTACCAATTCATTCGTTTGTGCAGCGAAATTTATTTAAGAAGCAGAATTGAAATTCGTCTTTGGTCTTTAAAATGTGTTGCGGCATTCATAAGGAAACCAAATTTTACAAATTTTACCATCATCAAGGGTGATTGATTTGTGACTTTTTTTCAGAAATCAGCCAGCCGCCCACCTGAGATCGCTGCATTTTAACTTAAAAAAAAATATTGTTGTCAAAAAAAAATTAAAAATCATCCATAGGATTGAAAATTGACAATTTAATATTGGAGAAATAGCTTTAAAATATTACAATTAACTAAATATGATACATCATATTCTTGGAAATTTAATTCTGAATTCAGATTCGAAAACCATTTTTAAAAATATTAAAATCTAAAGAAGTTATGACCAAACAACGGTACTAAATATATTCCGGTTTTTTAACTTGTTAATGTTTTTGATAATTGTTTTAGCTCTAGCTCACTCAATTTTTTTTTTTTTAAAGACTTTCCAGATTTGAATTCAGCATTAAATTTCCAAGAAAATGATGTATAACATGAAAATAAAAAATATTTTTTTTTTGTGGCCTTATGGTGAATTCTCCGACATTAAATCGTCAAATCGCAACCCGGACAATTTTGATTTTTTTTTATAAGTGAAAACGCAGCAACCTCTGGTGGGCGGTTGGCTCAATTCCGATATTGATCACCCCTAAATTAACCATTGTCTGCACTTTCTTTTGATTAGCAATGAATGTAAAATTTAATTCATTTCACAATTGTATTGTTTTCAATACAATTCACATACAGAGTCAGAACAAACAGCTGAATAAAACATGAAAATTAAATCAGATATAAAACTTAAAACATGAAAACTGAATATAATCATATTTAAATCATAAATAATGCATATTTATATTCACTATGAATATAAATAAATCAGAAATGAAAACAGGAAACGAAACATATAATATAAACATAAAAATAGAATAAAACGTGAAACACAAACATAAAAAAATAAATAAGCATTTTTCAAATATTTATAATATTTAAACATCAACAAATATTTCAATCTAAACATACCCTATGACTCGGTTGAATGGAAAACTCGATAGAAACAAGTCAACATACTAAGTCTGGTTTAAAAATTCAACTATGAATGAATTGTGTTTTAAAGAAATGTTTAAATCTCGAATAAAGCTGGAGTCCCAAGCTAGTGTTATAGGGTTGTTAATCGTTTTCGAAAATGATCGTTAAACGATCGTTTTTGTTTCGTTTTATTATCGTTTTCAAAAACGATCGTTTTTAAAAACGACCCACTCGTTTTGAAATTTTAAAAAACAAATAACGATCGTTTTTATAAACGATCGTTTTTATAAGAACGATTTGCGACCGTTTTTGATACGATTGTTTTTAAAAAAAGCTATCATTTTTGAAAAACGATTGTTAACTATCGTTAACGAAGGTTCGTCGTTAATGATTGTTAGCGAAACGACGAATTCTATAAAAACGATCGTCTTTAAAACGAGCGTTTTGTTTTTGATTTTTCGTCGTCGTTTTCATAACGAAACGATCGTTATTCAAAAAAATGAAAACGTTAACATCTCTAAATACATTAAATATAAACATTAGAGCAGAAAACTCGACATGCTTGAAATTTTGCAAAACATAAACATTGAAAGTAATAAGAATTACACAATACATGTGCATTAAACATGAATTAAATGATTCATATTCATTGAATTAATTAATTAAATAATGAATTAACAATGAATAAAGTTTCTAATTCTATCCTTTTCTATTTATATAAAGTTGTAATTTCTGTTTGTCTGTTTGTTTGTCCGATCATAACTTTGGAACCCTTGGACCGATTTGGCTCAAATTTTGATTGGGGAACTCGGGAGACAAACGGGAATGTTCTTAGTTTCTGGCAACGCTGGGTTCCCAAGCTGATAGTAGTGCATATATATTTATATTCAAATTCGAAAGGTATAAAATATTTTCTTCTCCCTACTTGATTTATTTTCCGGGGAGGAGAATGGGATGGAAGGAGGGTGCATGAGGAGCGTGCGGGTTGTTTGGGGCGGTGGGGAGGGGGGGTTGATAAGACCAACCTTCAAATCTCTTATCCTTGTATTGCACATATAAGGAAATTTGAATCTTGGTTTAACATATATCACGACATATCTTCCCCTCCCTGTTTTACCATGGTCTCCTCACCTTCTTGCTTCTCAGAGTCAAGGATATATTGTAACATGAAAGGATGGTCTGAGGTTGGTGCATATATATACCTTTGTCATCAATATTATCTATCTATCTTTCATCAGAGATGTATAGTTGCAAAAAACTTAAGAATTTACTCACATCAAGCTAAAGTAAATTTCACGTGATGTTGAAATCTGACACAGTGAGAACCAGGAAAGGAAGACGACGCAAGTTATAACTTTAAATTGTACAATATGCTCATATATGAGACACAGCAATCGCATAGTGTAAACAGGCTTATTTCACTTAATGAGTGATTTAATATAAGTTTGCTTTAATTTCGTCTTCCTATGCCATAGTTTTCTGGTTCTCACTGCATGCATGTATTTTTTTGACTTCTTCTTTTTTTCTCATACGTGTCCGTAAAATCAAGATTCAAGTTCCAGTAATGTGTCGTATGAGTTTGACCTTCTCCTTTCTATGAACTATATATATATAAGGCTGTAATTTATTTCAAAGCTATTTTTATTTTTTTACATAATACTATAAATATTTTAGTTATGAAATATTACTTTATTTAGTTTTTTCCTATTCTCCATTTTTTTTAATCTCTTAAATCAAAATCTACACAAATGTTAAGACCCCAAAAATGAAACTCGGGAGTTTTGCTCAACGATACTCTTTTAAATTTCAGACTCTGTAGTATACGTTCAAAAACTTGAAATCTTTGTAAACAATTGTTATCTCCCCAATCTTTCAACCTTACAAAGAGTCAATAAACCTTGGCAATATGGGAAATTAGGTTTCTCAATTAGTATGATAATTTGAACAATCACTGTTTATTATATAGGTGAGAAAGTGGTGTGCACTGAAACCTTTGAGATAATTCAGAGCACAGAGCTTGAGGACTGCATGGAGCCCAAAACTAAAGACATAAGGTTTCGTAATGAAAGCCAGTTTTGAAACCCAGGTTTCACGAATGGGGTGAGGCAGCGTTGTGGATATCAATATTTTTATTATGAAATATTGTTTTATTCAGTTACTTTATATATATTCTCCATTTTTTTCGAATCTCTTGAATAAAAATTTTCACAAATGGCCCCAAAAAGGAAACCCGGAGTTTCGTTCAGTGTATGGTACTCTTTTCAATTTGCTCTTATATCTCTGATATTAACTTATAAAAATTAAGAAGATGAATTATATATTATGTTTTCTTAAACAGACAGAAATGTAAATCTGAAACTCCAGGGTTAATTAAAGGGTCTCTTAAAAATACGTTTACATTTCCTTTAAGTTTACGTTTTTATAAAGAAATTTCTGTATAAAGAAAACAGGAATGTGTTGAAATATTATGAATATTTTCTAATTGGTGAATAAATATATGCAACCTGCTACCGGTCTGTATTCATAATATTATTTAAAGAATTAAAAGAACCGGGGCAGGGCTAATGTAGTTTTAAACGCCCTTTTTTGCAGTACGTTAGGAAAATATCAGAGACTGCAACTTAAGAATTGTTTTACCATGCATAAAAATCCGAGCTGCGCTGCAAACTATTAAAATGATTTTACCCGATGCTTAAATTAAACCATAGCTACAAAAATATGTCGTCTTCATTAAGTTTGAATCCGATTCAACCATGGTTAAAATGTCTTAAGTTTAGGAAAATTGAAGAGAAGACAATCTGTTATACGCTACTTCTCAAATAACTATTCATATACTGGGTGTCCCACGAAACATGACAGTAGTAAGACGCTTTGAAAGTCGTCTTTGATATTTGGATTGATTTGAGACAATCAGTCGTCAACCTTCTTTCAGATCTAGGATTCTTTAAATTCTAACCACAATATTATCCTAGTTCTAGGATTCTTTAAACACTAGTCACAATATTATCCTAGTTCTAGGATTCTTTAAACAGTAACCATAATATTATCCTAGTTCTAGGATTCTTTAAACACTAACCACAATATTATTCTAATTCTAGGATTCTTTAAACACTAACCACAATATTATCCTAGTTCTAGGATTCTTTAAACACTAACCACAATATTATCCTAGTTCTAGGATTTTTTAAACACTAACCATAATATTATCCTAGTTCTAGGATTTTTTAAACACTAACCATAATATTATCCTAATTCTAGGATTCTTTAAATACTAACCACAATATTATCATAGTTCTAGGATTCTTTTAACACTAACCACAATATTATCCTAGTTCTAGGATTCTTTAAACACTAACCATAATATTA